CTGGCTCTTTGATCGCACTTCCAGTCCTGATCGCTGGTGATTCTGGGACAGACTTTGAAAAGAAACTGGGCATAGGTAAAGCGGACGGAGCGGGAGATGCATGGAAAGTTGGACCTGCATAGACTTGAGTTGCGGATGGTGTTTGAATAGGTCTTGGAGCAGTTGAGCCACTGGCAGATTGAGCACCGGTCAATGGCGGGGTAGTTCGATCGCTCCTAGTTGCAACGGGAGACGTCTGAACATTTTTGGGTCTTCTTTTGTTGGTAGACTTTCTGGAACTATTGTCGGGTAGGGTTGAATTTGGTTTATTTTGAGAGGCTGGCTGGTTCTGCTGGACTCTTCGAGGAGTTCGAGGAGGGGTAGTAGGTTGCTGATCAGAATAAGTCATCGAGGGGTGCATGTTTTGTAAATATGCTTGATTATTGTGATCATGTGGACTTTGAGGGGCGTTTCGAGGTGAGGCTGTTCCAAAGTCTGCAGCGAAGCTTTGGGGTTGACGTTGCCCTTTGTGGGGAGTCATCGAGGACATCTTAGTTTGACGCCTATGAATGTGTGATTGGGTTGATGAAAGCTGTTCTTGATACAATGAAATCGGAATGATTGTGCTTGGTAAATAATACGAGACGAAAGCTTCCGCGTGTCTGTGCTATTGCCTGTGTAGATCAGATGGTACGAAATGGAGGGCTATAGGTAAGGAGGTGGACGTTCGTTGGCTGTGTCTCGCAATCTAGTAGAAGAGTAGTATTTTTGGTTGAATCTGTTTAATTTTACGTGGTTGAATGATTGAAGTGAGTTATTCATTGTTTTCGGTATGATGGTTTTATAATCTGTAGTATGTTTTGAATAAGAGAAGGGGGGAAGAGAGGCTGAAGAAGGTAAATGCGATACTGCGACCGATCGCTCTACTCCGTACCGTTTCACTGATCGATTTGGTAGATTAGTCATCTCCTTCCAATCAAAGCCCTCAGACTCTTCAGACAGATACCGATACCGTGAACAGGACGTAGGCAATGAAGGTAATTCAAAGACATCTTGTATTCATTCGACAGCCCTACAGCTATAGCTACAACACAGCCCTACGGTTGAATGGATCTATTTCGTGTTAGTTTGGTGAAAGTTAGAGATCCGAAAATATTCAATCGAAGTCCAAGGAATTATAGTACAGTATTAGCGCCCTCCTTTCGAGCTTTGTTTGCACCAAGCCGGAAAGCAGCAATAGTTCACGTGACCAAGACTGTTATGCCTAAACTACGGATAGGTAGTTCCAGAATATCAAAATACCATCATATGTCTACCGTAGATTGATATCTATCTGCGTCCAAAATCATACATAATCAAGAAGTCCTTTTATTTTAGATTCTGAGATTAATCGTTCTTCCATTGCAACAAACACCAACCTTCATTTGAACCGATTCATACAATCATCAGCTTATCCATATTAAATTCGCAAATCAATTCGTTCGCATCTCATCCTAAAGTACCCCGCCAACACCAATAATTTAGATAACCATCAACACTCCAAATATCCCATCACCATGGCAGACGTAGAAATGGCAGATGCCCCACCAGCTACAGGAAAGAAGAACGGTCTTAAGAAGGCAGGAGGTGGTGAAGGTTCGGAAGGCAAAAAGCGCTTTGAAGTGAAGAAGGTATAGATGCCTCGACTGTTGTTGGTTTTCTGCACAGCTTTAATAAGATATCTAGTGGAACGCGGTAGCTTTGTGGGCATGGGACATTGTTGTCGATAACTGCGCCATCTGCAGAAATCACATTATGGATCTTTGTAAGTTCGAGGGTGCCAAACATGATACCAACTGCTGACTTTCACAAAGGTATCGAATGTCAAGCAAACCAAGCCTCTGCCACAAGTGAGGAGTGCACTGTAGCTTGGGGAATTTGTAACGTCAGTAATTCCTCCCCTAGAGGTATTTGTTCTAACATCAGACTACGAACAGCACGCTTTCCATTTTCATTGCATCTCCCGTTGGTTGAAGACACGCCAAGTTTGCCCACTTGACAACAGAGATTGGGAGTTCCAGAAGTATGGTCGTTAAGTTGGGGGTTTGAGATTATATTTGGGATTGGATGGGGCATTTGAGGAAGATGATGAAGCTACGGACATGAAGTATAATATACCAAAAAGAGCGGCACGAATCTCATCTGCGCGGTTCATCCAAGACCCAGTGGGAGGCAAATGGAGAATTTCTGGCAGGATTGGCGTTAAGGACACAGAAGTAGAGCGAAACTTCGGTACAATGTAGCTTTCAATGTGAAGCGTTTTATTTGTGCCAATATATTGTTTGCATTTTGAGGTATTCCCAATCCTATGACGCCCCCAGATTAAATGTCCCTTCAACCATTCTTCAACCAACAGTCTTTCCATCCACAACAATCCCTTGTGTCGATGCATCCCGCCCACCTAAAGGTAACCATCTAACGGGGTGTTTCTTGTAGAAGGGCCATGGAGGCACAACGATGGCGAAGGTGAATGCCGTTCCAAGTAAACCGAAAGCAAGCGCCAGTTTGATATCTTGTTTGAAGAAGCCAACAAAGAAGGCAATGGCCTATTACTATCAATCAGCATATTTCGAATGACCAGGAAGGGATAGGATGATTTACTCCGGATATTGCCAATAGAGCTGTTGTCAAGAATTCTGCCAATCTTTGACCTTCAAAGTCCTACACGCGGAACAGGGCATGAGCATCAGACCCAGCTTTATGACCTTCATTAATACGATTGTGTGAATGATTGTATACTAACAATTTGTCCTTCGGCAAGATCCCGAACCTGGTCAAGAATTTGGTCTGCCATATTCGTAATTTGTGTGCAAAGTTGGGTGATCGATTTACAGAAACAACGAATCAAGTCTTCTACTAGATAAGAAAGTCGATTTTGTGAAATGTTACCAAATTCTACAAAGTGTCCCTTGAAGCTTAGGTTGAGGCCACACTTCAGCCTTGTTATGGTTATAGGTACCCTTGACTACTACTCGCCTTGGCCGAGAATTGGTAACCGGGGGGCTGAAGGCACATGGTTAGGGTTTGGGTGAGGGATGAGCGATTTTGGTTCAACAAGATGTACAGTTTACTTGATTCCTGTTACTCAAATGGCTTGATATTAAAGTTATCCTACGAGTATAGACAATACTATAGATATATGAGCTGGACGAAAACCTTCAAGTCTTGGCTAAATCGATAGTAGATAAGATGTGATGGGAGAAGATTCCAGTTCATGTATGGCGATAATCCACGACAAGAAAAGGCTTGGAAGATAAAGAACAAAGGGTATCCGAATGCAAGAATACATTCTCAGATGTTTGGATATACCAATGAAGAAGTCTCATGTCCTCAATGCACATTCCAAAATCAAGATCAATACGTCTTCTCGTGGGACCAAAGTATCCATTAGACAATTGGAACGCAGACAACCCAATGAATCCAAGCACCAATGCACCGATCCCGTATGTGAAAAGACGACTTGTATCGTTTGGCCTGTTGAAGAACATTATCAGGTCTTGGCCTTTGGATGATGGTACACAATCATATCACACCAGATGCCTCGATGGCCCCGAGCAGAAGGATTTGCCATGAGGACGTTGTTCATGTGGGAGAGATGATTTTGCAGAGAAGGAAAGAAGATGATCTATTGTGAACTCTTATGATCTAATCGACGAGATATGTAAGACCTAGCAAAATGTAATTGATACCTAATAACTACCTAACCACCTACCTAATCATACGAGCCATACTATATATATCAAATGTCTGAGAACTGGCTGGAGGTTGGTAGGTCAATTCTCCATCCATTCTCCACCAATTCCCCCCCACCAAATTCACTTTTTTTCCAATGAATGGAACTCTGAAGAAAGTGTACGGAGTAGTAAGGAAGAATAAGGAGTAACCTGGAAGGAACAATAAGGAATAAAGAATTCGAATAAGAAATAAAAGGAATGAAATGATTACCTAGGTATTGTACACCTCCAGCTGGAAACATACCTGGGAACACACCTGAACACCACCCATCCACCCATCCACCTATCCATCCACCATCGTGACCCGTACACTAATAACTACCATTAGTCATAATAAGCGCCTCCACCAAGATTTCTCTTTCAAGCTTTCTTCCTCCAACTCCACTTCTTGTCCTCCTTGAAAAATTACACCTCAAACAATATCGGATTGGTTTCGACCTTTCAACTCCCTTTCTTATTTAAACACAACATCTAACATCTCAATTCTTATCTTCAAATATCATTTTGCGATTAGCAACTTACCAAATATCTTTCATTTGGCCATTGGCTGTACCCTTGGCCATAACATAACGAGTACGCTTAGGGTTCCCAACACTACAAAAAACCGGCCGACCTTTTTTTCATCTTCTTTTACCTCGAAAAACTTCAACTCAAGACCGGCCACCCATAAAACCTACTTGCCCACCCTTCCAACAATCCAAGCCACGATCAATTCAATTTAAATACTGTTCCATATCGAAATATTCAAATTGTCGCATCAGAGCGATTGTCGAACGCGAGCGTCAATTCATTTCGACTCACAACGCCTCAACGGCTTCATAAACAATCAACCACCAAATTGGCGGGACTCGTATTCAAAGGCTTTTCCTTCATCCGTCCCCTCCTCGGTCCAGTGAAGATCTGGGCCTACTGCGGAGGCGACAAGAAACCCCCATAATTGCACTTTAAGCAATCCAAAATCGAAACATATAACCGCAGCTATACATACAAATCAAAAAGGGGTAGCGGATGGACGAGTAGCCATTCTTCACTAGACACCACACTGTACAGGGAGCACCTGTGCAAAGCCAACTATCAAATTGACGCCAAACAAGCGGTGGGCGCTCGTTGCGACCTGCCTAGACTTTGAAAGCTTTGGCTTCCTAGAAATTTGTATGTCGTTCTTGTTGTAACCGATGGAGTCTAATGGCTAATTCGCATGCAGAAACTTAACCTAAATATATCTTATCTATAATATTATAACTTAAAATGTCTGAACACGAAGACACCTCCCTTGATACCGGCTACAGCACGCCGGTGCCAGAATTAGATGATCACAGACATCAATCCCAATCTCTACCAAAAGCTCGTTCTCGCAGCGGTACTATCGATAGCATGCAAGCTCCTTCTCCCCGAGCTCCACACAGTCCAGACCTAGCACACGTAAATAACACACTTCTTCAAACAATCGCAAGAGATTTCGAGGAAGCCATTGTCGACGAGGACTCGAGAGGTGTATCTCCAATGGCCATTCGAATGGCAGATAGAAGTCGTAGAGGAACTGCTGTCACTGCCGATATCCGCTCCCTATCACCACCAAGCTCAGTGAAAGCATTTGCAGATGCAAGAAGAAGAGAACGAGAAATGTCTGTTTCGGACCCAACCCCTGGAAAGGCATTTGCAGATGCCAGACGGCTCGAAGACCATAATGCTCTTCATAGAACAGAATCACACGCCAGTCACCGAAGCCATCGTACATTTCGTAGCAGACGCTACACTAACGACAACGATGCAAAGAGCTTCGCAAGTTCGTGCAAGTCAGCCAAGGAAGATGTTTGCTTCCCTCTACATGCTTCTCCAACCAAAAACACCTTACAAATCAATTTTGAAACCCTCGAGGATTTCATTTTGGAGGAGGAAAATCGTTCCAAGACTCCCGTAAACCACACGCAACCTCGAATCTTCCACGATTTGAGAACTAACGGTGCGGTGCCCATGATTGTTACATCGGAAGGTACAGTTGTTGATATTCCTTCGGGTCCACCATCAATAAATGAGAAGTTGGATTCATCTAACCTCGAGGCACTTACCCGGCCAAAGCAATCGCACCCAGACACTAATAGGTTTGAATACTTTTCCTCGCACGGAGTAGATAGTATTCACGCATCGGAATTTGGTGATCTCATCTTGCCAGGAGAAGATATAAGAACCCTATTCACTCCTCCACAAGAAGAAGAACAACCAGGAGAGAGTGTCTGGTGGTTGAATATGAACAGCCCGACAGAGGAGGAGGTTCGTGTGATTTGCGAGGCATTTGGCGTCCATCCTTTGACCATCGAGGATATCACAGCTCAAGAAACGCGAGAGAAGATTGAACTCTTCCCTTCGTACTACTTCGCTTGTTTCCGTTCCTTTAGCGTTGTAGAGATTGAGGACGGCCAGGAATACGATCCATTCAACATTTATGTCATTGTCTTCCGAGAGGGTCTACTCAGCTTTAGTTTTTCGCCAAATCCACATGCAGGCAGTGTTCGTAAGCGTATCACATTGCTGAAGGATTATTTGTCTTTGAACAGCGATTGGATTTGCTACGCGCTAATGTAAGTTCTCCCAACAAGTCACCGAGACCATGAACTGACAATTTCACAGTGATCATATCGTTGATACCTTTGGCCCTGTTATCCACAAGATCGACAACGAGACAGATACGATTGAGGATCAAGTATTCATTGCTCGCAGTGATGACATGCATGCCTTTTTACGAAAAATCGGCATGGTTCGAAAGAATGTTATGGGTCTGATGAAACTTCTGGGTGGCAAGGCCGATGTCTTGAAAGGCTTCACAAAGCGCTGTAATTCGAACTACCTCGTCACTCCTCACATGGATATCGGTATGTATCTTGGCGATATTCAAGATCACGTTGTCACCATGATGACCAGTTTGGGTCACTCTGAGAAGATGCTCTCAAGATCGCACAGCAATTATCTCGCACAGCTGTCAATTGACAACATCACCCAAGGGAACAACGCCAACAAGGTTCTCAGCAAGATTACTCTTCTCGCCTCCATCCTCGTTCCTCTTAACTTGGTATGTGGTATGTTTGGTATGAATGTTGCTGTTCCTTTCGGGAACGCGACGAACACCCTCGTTCCGTTCTTTACAATTTTAGCTGTACTGGTGGTTTTCTCTCTTGCTTCCTTGGCCCTTGCAAGACGGTATAGATATATTTAGAAGTTTGTGGGAAGAATTGTGCTTGATCTAATAATACTGTTGAGAGGGTTTGTAAGCTTGGTAGATGTGGTAGATGTGGTACAGAACTTGGGCTAGATTCATGGTGTTACTATTACGGATCTTTTGGATACATTTTAGATGTCTTTAGATTTTGATATTGTTAATAAACCAGATACTACCTAGAATGTATGAATTGCATGACTTCAGTAAAGTGATAATTGATATGTGCTTCAAGATGTCTGGTCTGAAGCGGCCAAAGAGGATTTTACACGTGACCCGATCAATGACGCTGATACCGATAATCTTTGAACCCGGCAAAATTTCTGAAGCTCTGTATCAAAGCATTGAATTTTAACCCTAGCAAATCGCCAATATCTCTGTCGCACACATAGGAATCCTTTCCTCTCCTCTCCAAACAAAATCTCAACACATCACTGCGAAATTCTCCATCAGCTAAACAAAAAATGGATTCCTCATCTCTTCAGCAAACACCGGATCTCTCCAAGTTGTCGGATAGAGACAAGCAGGAATTGCAACAGTTTATTGTTAATGAGACGCAGAAGGCTAGGATTCAACAGTGTATGTGTTTTTTTTCTTGTCTTTCTTTCTTTCTTCTTTTGCTTTTTTGCTTTGGCTGCTGGAGTTCTTCTGGAGTTCTTCTGGAGTTTGTTTTGGGGTGGTGGTTTTTGTTTGGGGGGGGGGGGTTCTGGGGGAGTTGTGAATTGTACTGCACTGCACTTCATTGCCACGCCGAGTCTTCTTCCCCTCCATGCAAGAGGGAAGGCTATTTGAAAACCTGAATGGGCATAAGAATAAGAACCTGAAAAATAAGAACCACAAGCTAACAACCTCTCCCCTCAAAATAGCCGTTCACTCCCTAACCGACGTCTGCTGGAAAAAATGCGTCACGGGCAGTATCCGCAGCGGCAAGCTGGACAAGAGCGAAGAGAGCTGCACGATGAATTGTGTCGAGAGATTTTTGGATAGTAGTATGGCGGTGATTACGCATTTGAATACTATGAGGGCGAATGGGGGGGCTTAGGTTGGGGGGTTGGGTTGTGGTTTGAGGAGATGGGGATGTATGATTATTAGTTTGATGGGATGGGATGCGATGCGGTGGATGGGATGGGATGGGATGGGATGATGTTTTGAGGGGATGTCTGTGTTGGAATGGATATCTTATGATATGATATGATATGTATACTTTCTTTCCACTTGTTTCTGATATGACGAGGTGAGGGAGAGGGGGATGGAGCGTTAAATGAGGTATATGGATATGAATGAGACATGCATGAATGATGTCTCTTGTATGAATAGAAAAATCTAGGCGGATATGCTATGTGATTTGGGATCAATGAATAACATGATATCCCTTCTCGCAGGATCTTGACCTCGTTGTGGAGGAAGTCGATGAATGGTGCTTGGCTGTATTGATGTGTGGAGGGTAAGAAAGTAGCGAGGTGGATGGATAGACAGCCATTCTACATGAGGGTATGTTAATCCAATATACGATTTGAAAATCACTTGGAGGGGCTCATGAATTTGGAGTAGAAGCTTGATTTGTTACGAATCATATCCCTTATGCAGGCGGAACTCCAAGGTTTTCATATGGATTCATGCAACCGCAAGTCGAACTCGTTCGCTTGTACACAGTTTCTCAAAAACAAAACATAATGTAGCACATGATAGAGAGCCATGATAGAGAGCCGTCACAAACAAAACATATACAAGTTCAAGTGTATCAAGAATTGTTATTGGCAGGGTAATACTGCATTGGTATACACATTTTGAAAATCATCTCATTACGCTAAATGGATGTGGGTATCGACCAATCGTAGAAAAAGCTGGTTGTTTCTTCAACCATAAAACTTTTTGTTTCCCTCAAATCCAGATTCCTAATTCCACTCCCAGTTTTGATAATTTAGACAATGGCGAGCTTGGTGGCAGCAATGTCAAGAGCATCAACATCAGCAGTAAGACGGGCGAAGGCCTTCTTAGATCCATCAGGTCTGCAGTCCATGTGTTAGTAATTGCACATGATGGAAGAATTTGAATTGAGCCTACCTGATGAGGGTGTTGATCTTGACGGTGTCAATGTCGTAAAGCTTCTTCAAGGCCTCCTTGATTTGAGCCTTGTTGGCCTTGATGTCGACAATGAAGACAAGGGTGTTGTTCTCCTCGATCTTCTTCATGGCGCTCTCGGTGTTCAATGGGTGGATGATAACCTTGTGCTCATCGAGACGGGGTTGGGAAACGATGGAAGTACGTGGGTACTTTGGTGCACGGGAGAGTTGGAGGGTCTTAGGTCTGTGGAAGGTGGTCGAGAGACGGACCTTGCGGACCTTGTGGGAGTGAACCTGAAAGAATCATTAGTATCAAATATTAATCTCAAGAATGGATAGAAGAACTTACACCCTTCAAGGTAGCCTTAGCAGCGGCATTGGCCTTCTTGTTACCACCCTTGGCGGCGGCACCTATTAAAACTTACGCATCAGCAAGCGCTCTTGAAGAACTCGCAATATCTGCTACTGCTGGTGCGCATCTTTCGCATTCCTTCCGGCTGTGTCTGGAAATATTTTCATATTTCGTAATTTCAAAGCGGTCGCAATATTTTCCAAGGACGATATTGCGATTAAGAAATGCGATCAATGCGAATTTGAGAGAAAGGAGACTGTACCTTTCTTTGCTACGGGAGCCATTTCGACGAATATACTTCCTGAGGGATTAGTATTGGAATTGAGTTGTCGAGGAGTTGATGGATTGCTTCGAGAAAATATCTAGAGAGAAAAAGTCGAATTCACAGATCGTGGGCGAAAATTTCGCTAATCGGAGAAACTGTTTTGCCGGATACCGAAGAATGACAAGGGATGCATTTTTCCATCTAATTTTTCGAAGTAAATACTTTGTGTACTAGTCGGGTTTAATCTTCTGTTATTAATTGATTAATTTTGGGTTTTTAATCTTCGTGAAGATCTTCCGTCTTTTTCCCTCGTGAAGACTCATGCGGGTTTCAGCATTGATTTGAAGTCCTCAAATCTTTCACCATGGGTATCAACAAAAAAACAAAACTTAAGTCTCTCTCACAAGGACGACCACCCACGATCAAGAAACCAGCTCAACGTATTTCAAGCAAAGCTACTCGAACAATTATTCGTAAGCACCATACGTTAGAAAAGCAAAAGGCCAAGGCGTTAGCAGAAGGTGATGAAGTTAAGGCGGCGGCACTAACACGTGAGATTGCTTCACAAGGGGGATTGGAAAGCTATCAACGTGCAAGTCTAATCGGGCAGGGCAATGATAGAGGTGGAGATAGTAGCAAGATCTTGATGGATTGGCTAGCGCCTCTATCTAAAGATCTCAAGGACCTAGTTGAAAGGAAGTCACCTGTCCGCATGTTAGAGGTTGGAGCTTTGAGTACTACGAATGTTTGTTCAAGAAGTCACACCTTTCATGTTGAGAGAATTGATCTAAATAGTCAATCAGAGGGAATCACGCAGCAGGATTTCATGGAACGCCCGCTACCGAAGGACGAAACCGAAAAATTCAACATAGTCAGTCTTTCTCTAGTCTTGAACTACGTTCCGGATGGCGTAGGCAGAGGTAATATGTTACTCCGAACTCGCAAATTCTTGGAAACAATCTGTCCGGCTGGTGATGGCTTTAGCGAATGGTTTCCGGCATTGTTCTTGGTACTACCATCGCCTTGTGTGAACAACTCACGTTATATGGATGAAGCGAGACTGGAAGCAATCATGGAGAGCTTGGGATACGTCATGGTGAAGAAGAAGCTTTCGAACAAGCTGGTATATTATCTCTGGCGTTTACAGTCGCCAACGATGAAACCACGACAATGGAAGAAGGAAGAGATTCGAGCTGGAGGCAGCCGCAACAATTTCTCAATTGTGCTTAAGAATTGATCGTTATAATGGGGGGAGGGCAGGCGGTCTACATTATACATTGTACGTTGATGGACCGGTTGCAACTGTGTCCCACGAACGACTATCAGAAGGAATTCTAACGACAATCAACACAGATTCCGGCATCGACCGGAATGTCCAGCTTGCTTCCGTACACTGAGGGGTTGTATAATGCATGGAGCGATAGGCGCAAGATGCAAAATGGGCTCGGACTACAAATTTTATATGGTGGGTCGGCACCCTTGAGGAACATTTCGGCCTCTCCTGATGAATAAATAGACAAGACGAAAGATCGCCCAATCAGTTAATGAGAAGGTACTGGTGCGTAATGCGAAACAGTCAAAATCATGAATGGCATGGGGAGATTCGGGAGAATTAGTTGAGGCATTCGAAGGTGGGGGGACTTTTGAGTTTTTACACAAAAGTACCATGTAAAGGATGGATAAGAATACGGTAGATATCAGACTGGCCGAGAACTGCAAAGGACCTGACGGGCAGGTGGGGCATCTAATCCATGCATCTACCTGCGCCGCTGCATTTCCAAGTTTCTACTAAAATGTTACACTACTTGAAGGGCAAACTCGAAGATTGCAGTCTCAATGGTAAGTTGGAAAGTCTAGAAAACTTTGCTTAAAGGAACTCAACGAATGAGAAACATAGGAGGAGAGGAAAGAGGGGAAGAAACAAAAGTAATGGTTGCACGAAAATACAAGGGATGATATAAAAAATTTGTGTTGTGCATAAAATTGAATCCCGCATGACATCGGCATGAAAGCCCGATAAGCGTTATCTTTGGCTGGAGAAGCTTGCTTGATTTTTAAAAAGGCGGACTAAAACCATAAAATATCATTCTAGATAGTTCTCAATATGCAACCCACACCCAATTACACCCAATTCTTGATCCTGCCATATTAATTTGCTCGTGTGTCCATTCTCAAGAAACATCAGATGGTTTGGCAGTGATTTTTCTCTCAAGGTTTACTAAGGATTCGAAGATATAGAATTTTGTCAATCTCGGTTTCTGACTGTGGCATTTGATGATATCGCAATAACGAATAATATATTGCATCCTCATCATGGCGCCTCCTCCCAATCGAAATCCAACAACCTTTCATGAGTACGAGCATGGCACATCAGGATCCCCCAGAGGCTCTATTAGTAGCAATCGAAGTGTACGATTCGACTCGGGCAATTTCTCTCCATCTGCAGATTCTGATTATCTAGCCCCTGGGGATCAGAATGAACAGATGGAAGGTTTGAGGAGACGAAGGTATTTCGTCCTTCTCTTTCTTCGCGTGTATGATGGCTAATTTTTGATTCCAAGGTCTTCGATTGCCATGCGATTTAACTCTATTGCCCATGCTGGAGGTGTAAACAGCATCGAGAACTTCGCGCGAAGTTTAACACGAGCTACTGCCTTCCACGAAATTACTCCGCGCCGCCCGTCCTTCATACTTGCTGGGGACGGCACCGGAGAGGGTGATGATCCAGATGTAGAATATGGAGGATTACAGGCGGACTATGGTAGAATACCTCGATCTTCCTTGATCAGAGAACAGCTACGGAGATCAAATTCGGATGGTGTGGGTGATGACGAATCTGCAATTGGCGATGAGACAGAGAGCAACCTATCCCGGGTTGCCAGCCACATGAAGCCCGAAGGAGAACGGCTTCTTGGAGGCGATCGCTCAAGCGTGCAAGGAAGTGTAAGAGGCGGTCAATCCATCTTTGCCATTGCTCCGCATCTATCAACTCCTTTGGCGGGAAGCTATGGAACGTCTTACGGCACATTACGTTCAAACTTAAACGAGTCATCGATGATCCATGCTGGCCAACTTTGGCGACAACAACAAGCCACCGGCGCAAATGTTGCTGACGGGGAACACATGCCTTTGATTGTCAAGGAGGTTGAAGAAGATGGAAAGATCGTACTTGTGGTTGAGGGACAGTCTACGCTTCCACAGACGATCCTTAACTCCACGAATGTTCTCATTGGAGTTGGACTGCTCAGTCTCCCTATGGGTTTGAAGTACTCGGGACTGCTATGTGGCATGATATTACTCTTTCTATCGGCGCTTGTTACGTCGTACACGGCGAAATTGTTGGCTAAGTGTATGGACAGAGATCAGAGCCTTTTGAGTTTCGCAGACGTTGCTTATGCAACCTATGGTCGCAAGGCAAATATAGCGACTAGTATACTTTTCACTATGGAGCTTCTTGCGGCATGCGTTGCCTTGATTGTCCTTTTTGCAGATTCCCTTAATTCGCTAATTCCATCCGTCGGAGTCAATGAATGGAAAATTCTATGCGGTCTTCTTTTGATACCACTCAATTTTGTCCCCCTGCGTTTATTGAGTTTTACCAGTATTCTTGGAATCGTCTCATGTTTTTCCAGTATGTAAAACTATTCCCCAATTCCAACATATCAGCTAACCATGATAGTTGTGCTAATAATTCTCATTGATGGGTTTGTAACACCACGAACTCCTGGTTCTCTATTGGAACCGGCAACTCAATATATTTTTCCAGCCAATGTAAGTATCTTAGATGCGCCTCATCTCAGTATCATTCGTCATTGTATATCATATCATCACCAAAAACACCCAGGCTATCAGGTCTATTGTATCCTCGTACACTTCTAACGTAAATTGATGCATTCAAACCGCGGTGGTCAAATTCGAATCAAAGAATCATCTCCCAATATAATGTTTCCGAGAATGAGATTGACATGATATGATATCTATCACTCTAATTTTTGCTAATACTACTCCTGTCTAGTGGCTCACGCTCCCACTTTCGTTCGGCCTTATGATGTCGCCCTGGGGAGGACATTCGGTTTTCCCCAACATTTATCGTGACATGAGACACACATATAAGTTCGACAAGGCAGTCAAATACACATTCAGTTTCACAGTAAGTTTCGATTAATCTCCAACCTCGCCTACATTGTGCTAAACATTTCATAGTAATGTGCTTGATGCTACAACTGCTCTGGCTGGTATATTGATGTTTGGAGGTAAGCCCGCATTTCAAATTCAGCGCTCCCCTCTTCCTTACATCTTAGTCTTTGGGTCTATCCTTCTTCCGTTCAAGAAACACATCCCCCCACAAGCAGCTTCAATGCCAGACAGACACTAATATGTCTGTAGATAACGTTATGGACGAAGTGACTGCCAACATTATTGGGAACTCAAGCTACCCTCGCAGCTTGTCTCTTATGATATGCATATTCATTGCCATAATTCCATTGACCAAAGTCCCTCTGAACGCCCGCCCTATTGTTTCCACAATCGAATTGCTCTGTGGGCTTGATTCTCGCGCCATGCCCGAATCACAGGCCCTTACCGGACTCTCAGGCTACACTCGTGGTATAATCAAAGTTGCCATTCGTATCATTGTTCTCATCGTATTTGTAATCATTGCTGTTGTCTTTCCGGCTTTCGATAGTATTATGGCGTTTATGGGTTCGGCTTTATGCTTTACCATTTGTGTCATCCTACCACTTTTGTTCTACGTCAAGATGTTTGGAAAGGAAATCAGTAGGAGAGAGCTAATATTGGATTACTGCTTGATTGCTATTAGTTCTATAATGGCGGTTGTGGGTACCGTCTGGGCTTTCTTGCCCAAGGAACTTATTCACGCCGAATAATGCGCGTACGGCATACGACGCGTTTTTAATATTCTTGGGGAGGCAGCACACACGTTTCAGAAATTTATTCGTTGCATGGTTCATATGGATTGGTATTGGAGTTCTGCATTATGCATTGATGGTGGGTCGTTGATACTCTCTATGCAGTCGCTCCATACCCACCTTTTCTTTATTTTGTTTATATATATTTCTTATTTGGTTCTTGGGTTGTCAGTCATGGAGAATGGTCGCTGGTTGTTCTGTGCATATGATGGAGATGAAGTTACGTATATATTTAGGGTTTAAATGAGAAATAGGATATACTACTACTACTCGATTGCGTGCAATGTTCTCGTGAATATTATATGTAAGCGTCCTTTGACCATTTGCTTTCGGGGGGTTCATAGTCTTGAGTGAGCTGTTGGTGAGCATTGGGATAGTTGTAGTGGAGATATACGAGTGACTACCTACTTGCCTGGTTGAAGGAACAATGCTCGTGCTTTCATTCAAATCAAGTTTTGGGAATACAAAATAGGTAGTTGTGATAATACGAAGTCTACCCCATTACTCTGTAGAATTCTAAAGGATTCAATGGTATCACTATATCTTTTCATCAAGTCTTCTCATCTTATCTTCAACACCCACCTTTCGTAATTGCATCTCTATACCTCGCATTGTGAGACAAAAAGTCCAATATATATTTCCGATATATATACAGTCTGGATTCCTAATATTACATGCAATCCCACCATCATCCATTCGCATACTTTTGCATCACTGCTTCTTATCGGATTGTCCCTGTTCTTGTCCCTTTGCCTTCTTGGTAGCATCTGGTTGACCGACAATCTTAACGGCATCTTTGGTGTAGATGTAACTCATTCCGCTCCAAATGGTGGTTGTGGCTACTAGGTATCTGTGTGATTTGTTAATGTACTATTTTTATCGACTCATCGGTATCTCGTTTCCTTGCTACATCAACTCTTCTCTCGGATTTGAATCTCTTCACCCATACTCCTCGCATCACTGGCTTCAGATACATCCTACCCAACATCTTGCCGAACGAGTAAAGAGTCCAGTGCAGAAGAAAGAAGAAGAAGAAACATAGATTGACTCACTGAAACCCCGTCATAGCAATCCCAACATCCCAAGTAATCAAGGGCAAAGCCGTCGTTGCTCCAATTAATCCCAACTGCAATGCCGTGTTATACTTACTAATAGTAGTTGGATGTACCTCCGCCGATGGAAGTGAAAAGTCCCAATAACGAGAGAAGGTTTTGGGAGGAGGGAGAGAAATCCATCGCCAATAGATGGCGGAAATGGCGAGCCCAATGTCGCGGCCGAGGATTATGGTTGCGAGCCAGACTATGATAGAGAGAGTTATGTTTAGTCATCTTTCTCTTTTTCTTGAAAAGGGTGAGGATTGATGTTCGAAATATTGGGCAGAGATTGACATCATCAATATACCAAGGCACAAAGGAGGAGTAAGAAAAAACATACCAGGCAAACCCCCCTTAATCGCCAAACAAACCGTCAAAATGGTCATCAGCGTCTTATCCGCCATCGGATCAATAACCGTGCCCACTACCGTTTGTAAATTCCATTTTCTCGCAATCCATCCATCTACCAAATCCGTAATCCCAGCATAGGCAAAGAGTCCAACAGCCCACGCGTGTTGATCATGCAGAACGAGGTATCCACAAACGGGCGCAGCGATGAGACGAGAAAAGGTGAGAATATTAGGGACGGTATAGATGTTTTCATGGGGAGTGAGCGATTTCATGGATTTCAGGACTTCGAGGGGTTTCTTGAGGGGTGTGGGTGGGGGCGTTGGTTGTTTGCTGTAATTGCGTTTGCATTAGGTCTCTTCAGTTTGAGAGGGAAAGGAAAGGATAGAATCCAATAAGAAATCCATCGCTGTGTATCCAAACAACTCTCAAGTTCACCTAGCTCATCTCCCATCAATGAAAGCATCACTCGACTTCTCATAATCTCGCAAGTCACGTGATATAAATACCCTTTCCAAGAAACTCTCATCCCAACTCCCACCAAAAAAAAGAAACAATCACCATACCTTTCCTTCTCCCCACCACTCTCCGTCGAATACCTCACAATCCCCCTCTCCCGTCGTGATCTATAACCCATTAGTCCCATACCACACAACCCCGCGCGGCTATCACCACCCGCAAAATAAATCAATCCTCACATATCAGAAAAGAGCGCACCCCCATTCCTCCCCTCCCAACCCCACCCCACACTCCTCCCCCTACACATCGATCTCGAAAGCGTATGCATCGCCACCCGCGGCATCGAACGCGTATAATTCGTTCCCATCCCCGTCGCCAGCCCTCCCTTCCACAACATGAAAAATTGTTGTTTAGCCATCACTCCCGATCTTCTCATTGCATCCTGTTTTTCCCTGCAACCCTGGAGAAACTTTACTTAAGACCCAGCACTGATAAACTCAATCCGACGGGAGGTTTATTTTATCGAAGTCAAAAGATATGGTTTGAGTTTGTTGGGTGTTTGGGGTGGGAAGAACCTTGATCTTAAATCGGATGGAATCCAAAATACACTTTTCCAATCAAATATGGAATTGCCCGCGGGGAAGGTGGGGTGTCTGCTCTTCCGGAAACCAATAGCCGCCGCGCGTTTATTGGCGGTAGGTAAGGTATCACAATGTTTCATCACCATAAATCTACAAAATATGAACATGAGCTTGAAGGAATGTTTCTTCTTACTTGTCCAAGTGTAGAAGGGTGTCTTGTTAATTTTGTACATTTTTTGGTCTATGGAAAATCATTAAGAACTAGGTATGGAAAATCATCTTGATGTACAATAGTAAATGTATTTCATGAAAAAGATGAAATAAAGTATCACGGAGAGAAAGTTCGATTGATACACAAATATCAAGCAAGAGTCACTTTCATATGACGTTATCTGTAAGTTCTTTAAGAATATCAATATTTAATTACAAATTCAAGCCTATTTAAGAGCTGCTCGCCCGATTGACCTCTATAAAACTGTTCAATATACAGTTGTAAAACGGATAATTTCAACAACGCCTACAAAACCAAGAATCAATGACACCTATCGGGATCATCGTTCAGTGATGGTATAACAATGGTATCCGCCCCGACAATCATTCCAAGAATATTGCTGCTAAATATCTGCAGTACACGTACGCCTGCGCCAGCGACCATGCGTAACCCATATACACACACACGAACTTATATATACCCTGGCGCCAGCAGTCACCCGTAACCCATACATACGTACATACATGTATTTAACCGATTAAAATCAAAGTAAAAAAGTTTCAAGACCCGGCATCCCAATCGCCAAGAAAGAGACTTTGTCTCATAAGCCATTTTCGAATAACCAAAACAAAGAAAAAGCTTCCTATCGATACAGAAAGGTTGCAAAATGGTAACGATCATGAGACATCTCCTCCAAAGAAAGAGGTTGAATGTATCGTCAAAATATACAAAGAAGTTATGCTCGCTCTCCAGCTTCGCGTCCGTTATTAGAATGGGCGTAGTGGCGTAGGAGGAAAGGTAGGAGCTGGATGATACAGGTCATCTGATTCTGAAGAATATATAATCAAAGTTGGCATATTATGTTGTCTGCCACTTTTTGAATCAACAGCTTCTAAAGTCCGTTTGAAGAGGGCCAAGTTTGATGGTCCACGTTGTAATGAGCATGCCCAGTGCTGACATTTCCCGGCGAGGTTTCCATGTTTTGAGTATATTGATTGCCAGTTTGTGTGTTGTATGGTTGGTTAGATTGCGACATGGTTCGCTGCGCTTGAGAATAGCCATGCGAAGGAGTGGTTGCATCTCTTGTTTGATATAGATTTGGGGAAGCATATGTACTCTCATTGAAGTTTCTCGAGCCCATTTGGCTCTGGAACATTCCAGAAGCCGCCGAGTCGTGTGAACTCCTCGAGCTCATTTGACCTTGGATCATAGCAGGCATCCCCGATACCATTTCGGATACTCCAGAACTAAGTCCTTGCTGGCCATAACTCGAAGATCGGTGAGCAAGGGGTGTTGCATTCATGTTAGAGATGGAACCATGTCGCTGCTGTCTGTAGACATTGTTGTATGCATCAGCTCTTTGTGCGTCATACGTGCTTGGGGTTGATGAGTATTGAGCGTAAGAAGAGGCATGCGAACTTGTCGCAGGTAGTCCTCCGGTATAAGGACTGATGGAATTTGGGCTCCCAGAGAGAATGTTATTGTAAGAGCTTGGACCTGAGCTTACTGCAGGGAAATTTCCGTTGAATGGCGCGAGACTGTATGGTGCGGCTGACATGCCCATTGTGTAGTTGTTGTTGGAGAGAAGGCTGCTGGTTTGGTATGCCATGCCATGCGCAGATGGTGCTGGTAATCGTGGCGCATTTCGATTTGAATAGTCGTAATTGCTCCGTCCTGAATTGTGTTGGTAGGCAAGGTGATTTTCATGTACGTCGTCTTCATTCAAGAGATTGGAGTCATTGGGAGAGTGCTTGTAGCTTTTGCTATAGATAATGTCCCTACGCGGCTTGACGTCTGGGAATGCATTTTGTGGGATTGAAAGTTTACCAGAGACGACATCATCGATTGTGTAATACGACACAATGTGATGGGTGAGTTCTCCTACTTGGACGGTGATTGTCTTCTTGATGAGACAATTTCCATCCTTCTTGAAGTCGTATGAATCAACCAATGAACCGACCAATTCACGTTCCATCTCTTTGTTGAGTGGTCCATGCATAGAAGAGTAAACGCTGCCTCCGGGACTGGTGGAACCATTGCCATTCTTTCGAATGCCTTGTCTCTTGTCTTTGGCCATGGCTCTCTTTTTCTCTCCTGGTGCAAATGGCTTATTCAACTCTCTGTAGACAAGGAAGTTTCCTACCATGCGACTTGGACTCCATGTTGTACCATCGGTCCATCGTTTTACTCCAGAGGACTGTGCTTCGTGTATGAAAATGTTGCCGCTCTTGATGAGTTCAGATCGCTCCTTGTCATGGGGGCGACGGGCAATATGATTAATCTTTCCAGTAAAGGCAGCTTCGAGAAGGATCATTGCAGCTTTTGTGTCGGGGATGTAGCCATACCAAGTTGGCTTAAGGGTACCATTCACCGCAACCGGTACAGGCATTGGCATAGAAGCACCTAACGATGCCATCATGGAGACTGATGTGATACTATATGGGGTGGGTAGGTTGTAATGTGTACTAACGACAGTTGACTGACAGAAGGAAGAAGGTTAAACAAGAAAGGAACTGTCGGGAGAAGGTGGTGGATGTGGTAACGTAGTAGTGGTGATATACTCCTGGTGTGTTGGACGAGTAATGATAGATTCAAGATCGAATATCGAATATCGAATAATGAACAATGAACAATGTATATTGAGAAATATCGAATTTTCAAGCCGAGATAATGTTAAGTGGGAAGAAAAGAAGAGACCCAATGATAGCTGGCACTCCACTGAGTGACAACGACTAATAAATATAAAGTTCGGTGAGAGAATAAGGCTGAGAAAAACAAAGTTCAATATTGAACTATGGAAAGTTATTATGTGGAAATGTCAAATTGCTGGTAAAGCTTTTTTTTTGTCTTTCTTTAGAATTATGAGGATATTTGATGTTCTTGAGGTCGAAATGACGAGGTACGGGTATATATGTAAACGACGGGGTTTTGAGCTTGGGCTCTCGTTCGATACGTTCCGGTGGATGGATGTTCGAGGTCGATTCCGAGTACGATGGCTGATGGATGCTGATTTGGATGTCGATGTTGGTTTGGATGTCAGGCTTGCTTGGCTGTGAAGAGCAAAGATTCCATTCAACTGGACGATTGATGATGATAGTCGGATGAATGGGAAGAAGAAGAGTGTGATCGGTTCTTGCGTTCCTTTCGCTTTTTGCTTTTGCTTTTGCTTTTGCTTTTTCTCATTTACGTGTGGGATGGTATGGTAATAAGAAGATAGAAGTGATGAACCAAATCTCCAGAATAGAAAGAGCAATTTGGAAAAAAAGAGAGTTTGAGAGAAGTTGCGGGGGAGAAATCAAGCTAAAGTACTGGGAGGTATACTAAGTCACGACTCACATGATGCAGCAACGATTTAGGATTTATTAACCATCTAGCAGCATTTTACTATCATTTAAATAGTAAAAGCAATAGCAAAAAGCAATGAATTTTATCTATCTATATCTACGCTTAACTTAAGGAGGGAAGGAGTCAAGAAAGAGTAAACGTTTGAAAAGTGGAGTGGTGGTAAGAGACGGACTACCTAGTAGTATCAACGATTCCAGACTTTTACACTTTATTATTATTGTCCAGTTATGACTTCGGAGTTACGAGCTATGAGTTATGTTATCTTATGTTATTGGCTTGCTACATTCACCGGTCGAGTCGAGTCGAGTCTTGTCCCAAAGAGTTAGGAATGAGAACTCAGACCCAGGTATCCCGTTCGAAAAACTACTGACGGATCAGAAGCTGTGTACAGCGGACTTTTGCTAATTTTCCGCGAAAACTAATTGGTATTTTGTGTCCTCTGCACTCTGCACTCTGCACTCTGCACTCTGCACTCTGCACTCTGCTGCACTCTGCAATCTATCATCTACAATCTGTAATCTGTAATGCATGTAGGTGTGTTATAACTCAAGTCGTGTTAGTCCAGTTAGTCCGGTTAGTCGTCTTAGTCCCTCTAGTCGTGTTAGAACTGATTAGTCGAGTGGAAATCCATCTGGTAGGTGAGGTCAAGAAGTGGACATACCAAGACTTGACGAAAAGTAGCAACTAGGTAGGAGCTATGTACTCATGTATGACTTGTGTATTGCCCAATAATTAGTGATCAATGATCATATCTGTGCATCACTTTACCCAGTTCTCCCGCTAACTCTACATGGGGTCCGGCTATTTTCTGAATGGTTCATCGCCGGTACTAGCATCTTGTTCAACTCTCAACTTGCAAGGGACGAGGAGCTGTGTTGCGCCTAAGATGCAGGAACTGAACTCGAAGACTCTTGAGATTGAAAGTCAAAGACTCAAGAGTCAATTTATTCCAATGTTCAGGGCTATCCGTGGTCCAGGCGTCAAACCTTTAAATTTGAAGAACCTGAAATAATACACCGTATATACCACACCGTACCCATACCCAGCTACACACCCATTAATAAACGAAGATACAGCACGGCTGGTGAGTTGGTGAATCGTAACGTGTCGACACTACGACTGCTTGGGTCAATACTTGTCTGGGATATAGTCCTTACAAGCGTAGAACGAAATGCCTGTTGATGGCGATGCATTGCGCTCCATCCCTCATGCCCGCCCTCACAGCCAGGTTCTGGGATTTGCTCATTTGGAGGTGGGAAATCTCCGTAGAATGTACTTCTATGCTTGTAATCTGAATTC